CGGGGCAGGGCACAGGCAGCTGAGCGGGGCAGGGCACACCACGCCAGGACGGGGCCATCCACAGCCACCTGCACAGGCTGCACAAGGGGCACCAGCACAACCTCAGCAGCTTCCACAAGGCCAGGGGCCAGCTGCTGCCCCTGGCTCGGGGCAGTCCCAAGACTCACACAGTCATCAGGGAAGAGCCCTCCAGGATCCTCCAGTGCCACCCTCCCCCAGCACCACCACGCTCACCCCTAATCCCTGTCCCCAAGGGCCTCATTCAGACACCTCTGGAACACTTGCAGAGACAGTGACTCCACCACCTCCCTGGGACACTTATTGCAAGGCCTGGCCACTCCTGCAGGGAAAAATTGGTTTTAATATATGAGGTGAACGTCCCCTGGTAGAACTTCAGGCCATTTCCTGTCATCCTTTCCCTTGGGACATGGCAGAACAGACCGACCCCCCGAGGCTCCTCTGAAGCCTGGCAGACCCTCTGCAGCACTGACCCCCTTTATCAGCTCCCACTTTGTTCTTTCCATGTCCTTCCCAGCCAAGTTCACCTGCCCTCAGGGTGAGCCACCTTTTCAAGCCGTGTCATGGGAGTGTTCAGCGAGAACTACGTCAGCATCCTCCCCCTCAGGGCTGCTTCCCAAATCAAAACACGTGGCACCATCTACTCGAGAAGGAGGAATTTTATTGTTTCCATCAGCCAGGTTTCCTCGGGAATGACCAGGACAGCTCTCTAGACAGACTCTCTCATGATCTTGGTGAGTTTCTGGATCTTGGACCTTGTTGACATGTCCACGTACTTCTCCCCAATGTTGACAATCATCCCGCCGAGGATCGAGGGGTCAGTCTAAACAAGGAACATTGAACAGGAAGTCTGTGAACAAAAGTTTCTTAGCCTAGGATACAACTCTGACACTAGCAAAGGAAAGAATAAAGCTCTTCAAAGAGCCTTTTTTGAGAGAACTTTGTGGTCATTGCATTCCAAAATTAGGATTTTAGGAATTAAAGCATCATCATGTCTATGAGAAAAGAACTGTGTAACAGCAACAGGATTCAGTGAAATCTTTAAGATCATTTTTTAAAGGGTTTTTTAAACCCTTAACATGAACTTGATGAAATTTATTTATAAAGCCCAAACTCCAGACCTTGGTCTCCAGCTTCAAGACCTCTCCTTTAGCCAGGAATCCATTCAGAGCACTTTTCAGTTCAGTCAGGCTGGCCTCAGCCAAGGGCTGAAAAACAGGAACAGAAGAGAAGGAAAATTAAGGACTTGAAAATATTCAGATGATAGAACAAGGACCCCAATATCCTACTCAGATCCTTTGGAAGACAGACACGAGTACCAGGAAGGCAGATTAAGCAGTGTTCTGGAACGGGGACAACCAAAGGGCA